CCTTCCAATTCTGTTAGACCAAATTCCTCATTTGTCCTTCCACAGACAGCGAAAACTTAGCCCTTCTTTTTTAATCATGGTGTCCCACCCACCAAAAAGCTTGAGGATCAATCAAGGTGAAGAGACCTCCGTGGACCCATCTCAAAACAATGTCCGAGTTTCTCTAAATGGGGAATGCAAAATGTTTCCCAGAAGTTTGGAACTGTAGTATCTTCCCTGCCCTTCGGAAAGGGCACTGGGTCATCCTGATATCCATCAGAGTAAAGTGGCCACCTATTTGTAAAGGCTAAGTAAGGATAATCTCTGTTCCCAGGAGGCTCCACAGTGGTGAAGTCATTAATTTCTATAGGCAAGGACCTTCCTTCCTTCCTTCCTTCCTTCCTTCCTTCCTTCCTTCCTCCCTTCTTTCTTTCCTTCCTTCCTTCCCTCTCCTTCCTTTCACTCTTCTTTTCCTCGTTCCTTTTTCCTCCTTCTTTTTCTTCCTTCCTTCTCTTTTTCTTCCTTCCTTTTCTTTCCTTCCTTCCTTTTCTCCTTTTTCTCTTTCCTTGTTTTTTCTTTTCTTTCTCCTCCCTCCTTCCCTCCCCTCCCCTCTTTCTCTTCTTCCTTGCTTCTTTTTCTCCTTCCTTCCCTCCTGTCCTCCCTTCTCCCTTCTGCTCCTTCCTTCCTTCTTTTTCTTTTGCTCCTTCCCACCTTCCTTTCCTTTTCTCTCCTTTCTCCTTCCCTCCTTCCCACTTTCTCTTCCTCCTTGCTTTTTTTCCTCTTAGCTCCCTCTTTTTCTTCTTCCCTTGTTCCCTGCCTCCCCTTTCCTTCCTTCCCTCCTTTCCTCCTTTCCTTTCTCCTTTATTTAGAATTTACCCCCGTTTTCAAACAGACTTCTTTGGCCAGACAATTCGATAATATTATTCCTCTTCGTTATTCCTAGGTCACGCAACAGTATTATTACTCATACGCAAGTGAGCGGTGCAAAGAGTCCCAGGGCACGGCTGCCCAATTTAAGCATTAAAGAAATAAGATAAAAGGAATAAAGTAAATCAGCCCCATAGCTGCCTCCCACACAAACCCACACAGACCCAGCCAAAACAACCGAAGCGTTTGGCAGTTCTTTCCTCTCCCCCACTTCAGTTTGAAGCTTCAATTTCAACACATTCCTTGGCCTTATCTCTGGCCACCTCCCTTGCCTTGGCAACCTTGAGGTCCCTCGGACTACAACCCCCATGGGCCACAGCCTCAGTAGAGCAACAGTGCCAGGAAGGCCGGCCGAGGCGAACGCACTGCCCCAAACGGACGACAAGTGAAGATGAAAGGATGGGTCTTATTGCAGAGATCCTGCTCAATTAAAAAAACAACATTTTTTTCCCCTTAATAAACCTGCACTTTGCAAGATTTCCAACCCAAATTCCCCTGAAAGCTGCAGTTCTTTATTTTTTGGGATGGGGGGGGTAAGGTTGTCTCCTCCGTTGTACCCTCCAACCTGGTATGATTTTGGAAAAGGTTCTTGCAAACACTGCTCAACCTCTGTTTCTTTTTGCAACCTTTGGCAAACAAGAACTGGGAGGGGGGATTGGAGAGGCTGACACACAGGCGGAGAGGTGGGGGGGGGAAGGAGCTAGGGAATTCATTGGCGGAGGCATCAAAACCCCCCCCCCAGCTTTCAAAGGATTTTGCAGGAAGGAGGAAAAAGGGAAAAAAGAGAATTGACCCAGCTCTTTATCTCTGGAGAGAGAGAGAGAAAGAAAGAGAGAGAGGGAGGGAGGGAGAGAAACAGAAAGAAATGAGAGAAGGAGAAGGAAGGAAGGAAAATAAAAGGAGAGAAAGACAAGAGAGGAAAAAAGAAAAAGAAAGAAAGAAGGAAGGCAAGAAAAGATTCAGAGAAAGAAAGAAAAAAATAAAAGGAGAAAGAAAGAAAGAGGAGAGAGGAAAAGAAAAAGAGAAAAAGAAAGAAGGAAGAAAGGAAAGAAAAGATTCAGAGAAAGAAAGGAAAAAGGAAATAAAAGGAGAAAGAAAGAAAGAGGAGACAGGAAAAGAGAAAGAGAAAAAGAAAGAAAGGAGGAAGAAAGGAAAGAAAAGATTCAGAGAAAGAAAGGAAAAAGGAAAAAGAAAATAAAAGGAGAAAGAAAGATAGAGGAGAGAGGAAAAGAGAGAGGCACAGTGACAGAGATAGGAATAAAAAAGTGAAAGTGAGAGAAAGAGAGGAAAGAAAGATAGCTGGGGAGAGAGGGAGAAAGGAATGGCAGAGGTAGGAAGAGAAAAGGAGTGAAAAGAGAAAGAGTAAAAGAGAGACAGAAAGAAAAAAGTGAGAGAGGAGAGACAGAGAGAGAGGAAGGGAAGAAGGAAGGAAGGAAGGGACAGTGAGAAAGGGAGAGAGAGAGAGAGAGAGAGAAAAGGAGAAGAAAGGCACCCAGCTCTCTTTCATTTGCAAAACAAACTGTAAATATCCTGAAATCACGGAAGTGAGCTGAAGGTCATAAAAAAAAAAATACCCGCCCTCATTTCCTTCACAATCAGCACACATTCAGGATCAAAAATTCAGTATATTATATACAGGTTTTCTGGGTATATTTTCCTGCCCTTTTGCTCTGGAGGGGAAAAAAAAAGAAAACACATACAATGCTCATTTTTACCACTTCCCCTCTCCCACCCCCCCAAAAAAACCCCACAGCACCAGGTAGACACAGGTGGGGGAGCAGGATGAGGCTCCCAAAAATCATACATTATTTTCCCCTTCCGTCCCCCCTGCTTTTTAGCTTTTGTTCTCAGCCTCCTGCAGAAAGTAGTTTCTAGCCCCCCCTCCCCATGAAACTAACAAACTCGCATGAAAAGACAAGGTGGGAAGTGCGAAGACACAATAATAGTGCGATTGTCAACACAATAAACGATTCCTCCCTCTGCTTTGCTCATTTTTTATTTATTTATTTTTTGCCAGGAAAGAAAGCAGACGGGAGGGAAATAAAGAAAGGATTTTTAAGAAGGTGGTGGTGGTGGGGGGGGGGAACAGGCCCAAGATGTAGCCAGGGAATTTCCCCTCCCCCAACCCATTTGACTCCCTTTAATAGAATAGCATAGCATCAAAGGGCCGGAAGGAACCCTAGAGGTCCTCTAGTCCAACCCCGTGCCCTTCCCTTGATATGTTGCGGAGTGCTATATCCTACTCCTTCCACTTTCTGAACCAACCCTGGGGGTGGGGGCAGGCGGGGAGGAGGTGAGAGACTTTGCAAAAAGGAGAGGGAAGGACGAGATGACAACAGACCCCATCGTCCCCAGCCACCCTGGGGAAGAATCGGAATTGGAGTCCAGGCCCCAAAGCAAGGGGAAGGTTTTGATCAGCTCAAGTGTGGAGGCTTGCAAGCGATTGTGAGGATGGAGGGAGGGACGGAGGGACAATCTGTGTTTATTATTTATTAGATATTTATCAGGGTTTACAGCTGCCTGCGGTCTCTAATAAATGCCTGAGGAAGGGAATTAGAGAAAGGAGGAGAAGATTAAAGAAGGTGGAGAAGACAGGGAAGAATATCAAAGGGGTTTTTTAGGGGGGGAAGCAAGGAGGGGAGGAGATGGGGGGAGTCCCGGGACCCCAGAAGGGAAGAGGGGGGAGAGCAGAGAGGCACAGGGGTGTCACAGAAATCCTGGTTTCAATTCAAGCTCTCTTTTGGGAATGGGAAAGGGTGATTCAGGGCAGGCCAAGCCTACGTTACAGGGTTGGTGTATGGGGGGGAAGGGGTCACGTTAAGAGAGACCCCCCCAATGTCACGTGAGTGGAGGAAAGACAGGCAGCCTCTTGTGAAGGAGAGAAAGGGGGAGAGAGGGAGGGAGGGAGGGAGAGGAAGAAAAGGGGCAAGCTTGGAAAGGACTACAAAGCTCCTCAGCCTCAGCCTGATAGGAAGGGGAGGCTCTGGGCCACCTGGTGAGGGAGGGAAGGATGCAGGCAGGCTGGGAGGGAGGCAAGAGGGACCCCAGGGAGCAGGGCTGGGGGCAGGAAGAGGTGGAGCAGGTGGAAGAGGATGCGGAGCTCACCTGACAGGTGTGCCAGCTAAGTTATAAGAAATACCTGGTCCCCCCTTAGAATACAAGGTAACTGATACTCCCAGGTGGGGGGAGATAAGGAGGAGGGGGAGGAGGATGGAAGAAGGAGAGAAAGAAGAAGTAAAGAGGAAAGAAGGTGGGGGAGAAGGTGAGGAGGTGACAGAGAAGAAGGAAAAGAAGAGGAGGCAGAGGAGGATGGGGAAGTAGAAAGGAAGAGGAGAAGGAGGAAACAAAGGAGGAAGTGGAAGCAGAGGAGAAAGAAGAGGGAAGGAGAAAGAGGAAGAAGAGGAGGAAGGGGAAGAGAAGAAGAAGGAGGAAGAAAAAAAGGATGAAGAGGAGGCAGAGGAGAAGAAATGGGAAGTGAAGGAAGGAGGAAGAGGAAAGGGAAGAGGGGAGGAGGAAGAAAAGGAGGAAGGGGAAGAGGAAGGAAAAGGAAACAAAGGAGGAAGAGGAAGCAGAGGAGAAAGAAGAGGAAAGGGGAAGGAGAAAGAAGAGGGAAGGAGAAAGAGGAAGAAGAGAAGGGGAAGAAGGAAAAGGAGGAAAATAAGGAGGAAGTGGAGGCAGAGGAGAAGGAATGGGAAGAGTTGGAAGGAGGAAGAAAAGGAGGAAGAGGAAGGAGAAGGAAACGGAGGAGAAAGAGGAAGAAGAGGAGAAGAGGAAGGAGGAAAAGGAGGAAAATAAGGAGGAAGAGGAGGCAGAGGAGAAGGAACGGGAAGAGTAGGAAGGAGGAAGAAAACCCAGCACCAAGTAAGGCAACCTCCACCACTCCCGATCCAAGCAACCGCAGAGGCGCGCCCTCCTCCCGTCTCCCCCACCGGACTCCCTTCCTTCCCACGATCCCTTTCCAACCCCGCGTGTCAGACCAACTCCCTCCCTCCCTCCCTCCCTCCCCCCCACGACCCCCTCCCCAATCCCAGCCCCTCCGCAGGTGAGGCTGCAGCAGGTGAGGCGAGGCCGAGAGCCGAGAGCCGAGAGCTCACCTTGGCGAAGTAGAGCATCCACAGCTCGTAGAGCCGCTCCTTGGAAGCCATCGCGGACCGCGCTCTCCCCGCAAGGCTCGGTCGCGCTCGGTCGCTCTAACCCCGGCCAGGCAGCGCTGCCGGCCGCCCTTCCTTCGCCATGCCACCGACGGCTCCACGATTCGGGCTGCGCTGCGCTGCGCTCCGGAGCTGCTGCTGCTGCCCAGCCTCGCTCGCTCGCTCGCTCCTCCTCCGACGCCGCCTGATTCGCAGCCCGGCCGGGCTCCGGGGAGGCGCAGCGGGCGGAGCGCAGGTGCGCCCCTCGGCCGACCCGCTGCTCCGCCCGCGTTCGCACGACCCTCCTCCGCCGGGGAGGCTGCCTCGCGCGCAGGTGCCTTTGTTTCCCCGGGAGGACGCGTGACGAGAAGCCGCGGCGCGTTGTGTGCGAAGGGAGGCGCCTTCCGGGTTCCACCTGTTTGTGGGAATGCAATGATCCGGGGTGCGGGTTTGGGTGGGGTGAGGGGGGAGACTTGGGAAGAAAAGTATCCGCATTATGGAAATATTGCAATGTGATTTTGGTTTTTTTTATTAGGTTTTTTTTTTAGAGTTAGAGGTGCATAAGGTGTTGTGTGAAAGGATGAATCTCCCGGGTTCGGCTTGTTGTGTGAATGCAGCTCTCCAGGGTTAGGGGCGGCTATGAGGAGAGGGACTCCCATTATCCACATACTGTAACGTTCCAAGCTTGCAAAATTGTTTGAGAGGTATTGTGTGAAAGGATGAATCTCCTGGGTTCCACTGGTTGTGTGAATGCAACTCCCTGGGTGGGTAGGTTTCGAATAGGAGGACAAAGAGACCCCCATTATGGAAATACTGTAAAGTTTCAGGCTTGCAAATGCAACCTTTTAACCATTTAAGGGTTAGATGAATCTTCTGAGTTCTGCTTATTGTGTGAATGCAGCTCTCCAAGGCTGCAGGTTTGGGCTAAGAGGAGACCCATTCCCCATTATCGAAATACTGTCATGTTTTAGGTTTGCAAATACAAAGTGATTTATTGTTTAAGGGTTAGGGACGTGGGGTTTTATGAAAAAAAAAAGCCTCTTCCGGGTTCCACCTGTTGTGTGAATGCAACTCTCTCTGGGTGTGCAAGTTTGGGCTGGGTGAAGAGGAATCCCCTTTACTGAAATAATGTTAAAATTTCAGGTTTGCATATTTTTTTTCAGATTAACAGAGTTGGAAGGGACCTTGTAGGTCATCTAGTCTAACCCCCCCATCCTGCTGCTTAGCTTTCTCGTTGAGAGATGGTCTCAGATTGACGTGGTTTCTCCCACTGAGATACGAGCCATAAAACGAACCTTTGTCTTCACCAATTTGTGTCTGCGGTCATTCGTCATTTAAGGGTTAAGGGCGCAGGGCATTGTGGGAAAGGATGCATTTTTCTGGGTTCCATTTGTTGTGTGAATGCAACTAGGAAGGGATGCAGGTAGGAAGGATCCTGAATTCTCAACCGCACCTGGCAGGGTTTCAGGCTTGGAAATGCAGCCATTAATCTTTGAAGGGTTGGGGGGTTACACCTGTTGGATCCCACTTTGTTCACACAACTTTCCTCTCCGAGGGAACTTCACAAGATTCTTGGTGAGTCCATTGTCCATTCCACAAGACCCTCTAGGTGAGAAATGCCCCTCTCTGGCTCGGGTGTCTTTGTTGTCCCTCTCTGGCCGGGAGACCCCAGGACCGAAAGACATAGAGCTTTGTGCGAAGGGGCCCATCTTCCAGGTTCCTCCTGTTGTGTGAATGTGACTTACCTGGGGGTGCAGGTTTGGGCTAGGAAGACAGGTGCTCCCATTATGGAAATAATATAAAGTTTCAAAGTTTGCAAACATAACCTTTAATCTTTTAAGGTTAGGGTTAGGGTGCACCAGCCGGATCCCATTTTGTCCATTCATACGATCCAAAAGATGGGTGTTTCTGCTGAGGTGCATTTGTTTTCCTGGCTAAGTGAATGCACAACATAGGTCATTGTGTGAATCGTGGAATCATAGGTCTGGAAGGGGCCTCGGAGGTCCTCTAGTCCAGCCCCCTGCTTGAGCAGGAGACCTTATAACCGTGATGGCGAACCTATGGCTCGTGTGCCACAGGTGGCACACGGAACCATATCTCTGGGCACGCGAGTGTTGCCCTAGCTCAGCTCCAACGCACATGTGCACACCAACCAGCTGATCTTCAGGCCTCCCAGGCCCACCGGAAGTCAGGAAATGGGCTGTTTTCGTCCTCCCCAGGCTCCAAGAAAGCGTCTGGCGCCTGGGGAGGGCAAAAAACAAGCCTACTGGGCTCACCAGTAACTTTTTTGCTGTTGCGTGCCAAAAGCGGGGGAGCGCAGGGGAGTCATGCACACATGCGTGCAGGGCATTGAATTATGGGTGTGGCCATGCACGCATGCGACCCCCCTGCACTTCCCCCGCTTTGGGTACACGACAGCAAAAAGGTTAGCCATCCCTGCCTTATAACATCCTGGTCAATTAGTTGTCCAATTTTTTCTTGAAAACCTCCAGCAATGGATCACCCACAATTCTGGAAGGCAGGCTGTTCCATGGATTAATTGCATCTTCTGGGTGCCGTCTGTTGTGTGAATGCAACTATTCGAGGGTTCAGGGTTGGGCTAGGAGGAGAGGGACCCCAATATTTCAGCACCCGGAAGGGTTGGGGTGGAAGCCGGGGTGTCCTGCAAGCTTTCCTGAGAAGGGAATTGAAACATCAAGAAAGACATGTAGAAATACAGATGTTTTCAACTTACGGCCGCAATGGAGCCCAAAATTTCCATCGCTAAGGCCAAGACACTTGTTAACTGAGTTTTGCCCCATTTTATGACCTTCCTTACCACAGTTGTTAAGTGAATCACAACTGTTGTAAAGTTAATAACACAGTTGTGGCACGAATCTGGCTTCTTCGAACTAAATGCAGTTTGCATCTTGAGGTGGGTTCAAGATTTAGCATGAATTTCACTTAGGACCACAATTGAAAGAGGAATTTCTGTTGCTAAGCGAGGCAGTTGCTAAATGAGTCACACCCAATATTTGGCCTTTTTTTTTCTTTTTTTGCCATGGTTGTTAAGCGGATAAGTCGGTTGTTAAGTGAATCTGGCTTTTCCATTGATTTTTGTTAGTCAGGTCACCAAAGGGGATTGCATGACCCCAGGACCTTGCAGGCATCATAAATATGAGCCAATTGCCAAGCCTCTCATTTTAATAATGTGGGGTTGCTGCAACGGTTGTGTGAAAAATGATCATAAGTCACTTTTTTCAGTGCCGATATAACTTTGAATGGTCACTAAACGAACTGTTGTAAGTCAAGGACTACCTGTACATGACATGGGAGTAGGGACAATCCTAATGTGTTCCTGTTAAAACAATTAGAGCAGGGTCTTTCAAATGGGTGGACTTCAACTCCCAGAATTCCCCAGCCAACAAGTTTGAAGATGGAATGGACTTCAAGTCCCAGAATTCCCCAGCCAACAAGTTTGAAAATAGATGGACTTCAACTCCCAGAATTCCCCAGCCAACAAGTTTGAAGATGGATGGACTTCAATTCCCAGAATTCCCCCGCCAACAAGTTTGAAGATGGATGGACTTCAACTCCCAGAATTCCCCAGCCAACAAGTTTGAAGATGGATGGACTTCAACTCCCAGAATTCCCCAGCCAACAAGTTTGAAGATGGATGGACTTCAAGTCCCAGAATTCCCCAGCCAACAAGTTTGAAGATGGATGGACTTCAAGTCCCAGAATTCCCCAGCCAACAAGTTTGAAGATGGATGGACTTCAACTCCCAGAATTCCCCAGCCAGCATGGCTGGCTGGGGAATTCTGGGAGTTGAAGTCCACCCATCTTAAACTGGCCAAGCTGGGGAAAAAAAAACATAGGCTGAAGTCTCTGTTCCACAGCCATCACCCATTATACAGCCTTCCCGCACTCTGCCTATGCTCAGAGGACTCTGCCTCAGACCCATTCTGAACCTTTCCCTCCTCTCTGCAAACTTTCATGCCTCGAGCGATGCGCTCGGCGCTCGGCTGGCCGCCCCTGGCGTCATCGATCGGCGACTCTGCTTTCGCTCGGCGCGGCCGGCACGCGCGTTACACCACCCCCTCCCGGCGCGCGTGCGCAGTAGGCCCGAAGATGGCGTCCGAAGGCGGCGGTTTGCAGGAAGAGGCGCTGCGGCGAAGGGAGCGGCTGAAGGCGCTGAGGGAACGCACCGGGGCGAGCAAGAAGGTAAGGCGGGCCGGGAGCCGCCTCGAAGGGCCGGATGGCGGCTTTGGAGGCTCAGCCGACCTGAGGGGGTGGGAGGGGGGAAAGTCCTGTGGCGGGAACATGCTCGGAGGTGACGTCACAGCGACGTCACTCGCGCATGCGTGTTGCCAAACGGGGACTACAAAGCCCATCCCCGTGGCAGGCCCTCCGCCCCGGCTTCCTTCTGCTACGTCCCCCGTTTGCATCCTCTTCTTTGGGCCGGGAAAGCGATACCCGAGCACCCCCCCGGGTTAGGGACTACAAAGCCCATCGTCCCCTGGCCTACATGGCAGCGAGGTCTCCCTTTAGGTTGTGGTTTAGGCTTTTTAAAATAATCATTATTAGGTGTTTTTCACTTAACGGCTGCAGTGATTCGCTTAACAACCACGGCGGCGTGATTCGCTTAGCAATCGCCTTGCTTAGCGACGGGAACCCTGGTCCCAAGTGGCGGAATCCCTGCAGCTGAGCTAAACCAAGAGTTTTTTTTAAAAAAACTTTGTCACCTTAAGATAGGTGGGCTTCAACTCCCAGAATCCCCCGGCCACTTATTTTTGCAGTGATCTTCACGCTAAGCGAACACTGCCGTCGTTAAACAAATCCATGGTCTGCAGTGATGTGGTCTTTTTATCAGAAAATGGAAGTACAGATAGTCCTCGGCTTAACAACGGTTCATTCAGTGACCATTCAAAGCTACGACGCTGAAAGAAGTGACTTACGACCATTGCGGGCCCTCCCCCGGGGGTCACATGATCAAAATTCAGACACTTGGCGAATTTATGACGGCCTCACAGTGTCCCGGGGTCACGTGATCCCCTTTTGCGACCTTCTAACAAGCAAAGTCTGTTGGGAAACCAGATTAACAACCATGTTACTTCACAACTGCCATGATTCGCTTACCAAATGGGGTAAAAAAGATCGTAAAATGGGGCAAAATCTATTCAACAACTGTCTTAATTAGCACCAGAAAATTTTGGACTCAATTGTGATTTTAAAGTCAAGGATTACTTTATTATTTCAACTCTGATATACTTTGTCTATTTTACAGGTAGTCCTCAGTTTACAACCCTTTGTTTAGTGACTGTTCGAAGTTACAGTGGCACTGAAAAAACCGACTTATGATTGTTCTTCACACTTACGACCGTTGCAGCATCCCCATGGTCACGGGATCAAAAATCACATGCTTGGCAACTGACTCATAGTTATGACGGTTGCAGAGTCCCGGGGTCATGAGTTCGACTTTTGCAACCTTCCGACAACAAAGTCAATGGAGAAACCGGATTAACAACCATGTTACTTAAACAACTGCAGTGATTCGCTTAACAGCTGTGGCAAGAACGGTCATAAAATGGAGCAAAATTCACTGTCTCACTTGGCAGTGGAAATTTTTGGGTTCATTTGTGGTTGTGACTTCGAATGATCATTAAGTGAGGACTACTAAATGATGCAAGCCCCTGTCTGTCTTTCTTTTTGTGACCGAATATCAGACCTAAAGGAATGTGGTTTGCTTTGGGTCGTTGCAAAACAATTTGTCAGTTGTCAAACCCTGACATCCGTGCCCTGAACAATCTACCTTCCCCGCTCTGTTTGTGTTTCCTGAAATCGATCCAAAACTTTACTAGGCAAACTGTTAAATAAACCATGAACGGGGGGGAAGGTGGTTTATCTCAACAGGTCAGCCCAACGGATCTGTTTACGCTTAACATGGATAATTCATAGCATCCCGGCTTCTGATGCACACGGGAGTAAGGAACATGTTGGCCAATCCTTGAATCTTACCAACTTTCCTGAAGAGACAAACTAGATCGGTGCAGACAACAAACAACATCTGGGACATCTGAATTAGGCACGAATAAATTTTGAATTGTGTGGAATTTCCTTCCACATCTTTGAACAGAATGCAGTTTGGATCTTCAAGTGGGTTGAAGATTCGGCATGGATTTTAATTCAGGAAGTCCTCATCTTACGACCACAATTGAGACAAGAATTCCAGTTAAGTGAGGCAGTTGTTCAATGAGTCACATCCATTTTTTTTACTCCTTTTTTTTTTTTTTTTTTGCCATGGTGGTTAACCAAATGGCTGCGGTTAATCAATTGGTTGTTAAGTGAATCTGACTTCCCCCTTGACTTTGTTTGTCAGAAGGTCGCAAAAGAGGATCACGTGACCCCAGGACACTAAATATCAATCAGTTGCCAAATGTCTGGATTTTGATCACGTGACTACGGGAATGAAGCGATGGTTGTAAGTGTGAGGACTGATCATAAGTCACTTTTCTCAGTTCTGCTGTAACTTCAAATGGTCGCTAAGCAAATAGTTGTAGGTTGAGGACTACCTATAAAGACCCTCTCGAGGCAACTTGGATTCCTGATGATTAAACAGACATAGCCGTTTTTCTTATTTTATTTATTTGTTTGTAACCAGCCTTCTTTATTTTTACAAATAATTCAAGGCAGGGAACATATCCAATATATTTTCCCCACAAAATCCTATGGGGTGGGGTGGGCTGAGAGAGAGGGAGTGACCCAAAGTTACCTAGCCAGGTTTCAGGTCTGAGCTGGGACTAGAACTCACCGTCTCCTGGTGATTGGCCTGGAGTCACCCAGCTAGCTTTGATGCATAAGACAGGACTAGAACTCACCATCTCCTTGTGATTGGCCTGGAGTCAGCCACCTATCTCATGCATAAGACAGGACTAGAACTCACCGTCTCCTGGTGATTGGCCCAAAGTCACCCAGCTAGCTTTCATGCATAAGCTGGGACTAGAACTCACCGTCTCCTGGTGATTGGCCTGGAGTCGCCCAGCAGGTGTAAGTCGGGACCAGAACTCACCGTCTCCCACTTTCTAGCCTGCTGCCTTGCCTTAACCACTAGACCAGACTGCGTCCCTCTTTTCTTCAACCACAGTTTGGAAGTCATTATTATCCTACTTAGGAAGTAGAATAATCTCCTTAATATTATCCCGATCAGCAACGTCGTATTTTCCCTTTGCTGTGAAACGAAAGGGCCGCCTTTGTTTTAAACGGCCAGTTCTGGAGATCTTGTGATCTTGTGGAAGTGAGCTAAACTCGCGACAATCCCCAGCGTGGGTGCCTGAAGGTTTCTTCTTTTCACAGGAAGAGGCACGCAAGCAATCCCATGAAAGAGTGCGTGATTTTAGTTTTGTCTCAAGGCCGCACACGCCCCTTCCCACTCACCCCGGCACATGAAATCTGGTGTTGGTGTTTCAAGCAACGTTTTCAACCAATCTGAGCCACAAGAGGAATGTGTTTTACCCAGTTTTAAAGCCTTCCTTGCCTCAGGTTGCTAAGCGAATCCCTGAAGTCGTTAAATTAGTCACACGGTTGTGAAGCGAATCTGGCTTCCCCCATTGACTTGGCTTGTCAGAAGGTCACTAAAGGGGGTCATGGGGCCTCCCCTCCCCCCCCAGGGACACTGCAACCGTCATAAGTATGAGTCAGTTGCCAAACGCCTGAATTTTGGCCATGCTGTAAGTGGGGGAAAAGCACTTTTCTGCATGCTGTTGTATGTCCTGAACGGTCACTAAATGAACTTGTTGCAAGTCAAGGACTGTCTGTAACCTCATTTTTCTCTGTTCCTTGATATTCTGCTTTGACCCTTGCTCTTTTAGCACCTTCTTCTTGCGGCTCAGATTGGCTGAAAATGTTGCTTGAAAGGAGGAATTGGAGCTTCTGGACTTTTTCGAAAAATATTAATACGTCTCTTAAAATAGCCTGGGCTATAAATATAACTAGACTGAAGTTGACATATTTTGGTGACCGGTTCCACAATCCAGGGCATTTCCTAGTCAAGTTTCGGTTCTGTCATTTTCAGAAAAATGTGTGCAGATGTTTGGATTTTACCTAGCAGAAAAAGCCTGTGGATAAACTTTTGCCAACCCATGAAAATGGTTGAACGTTTTCAAGATGGTATCCTCTGAATTCAGTGGCTGCTTCTGCTGAGTAAAACTCAGCCAGTTTGGTCTAGTGGTTAAGGCAGCAGGCTTAAATAGGAGAGGGTGAGTTCTAGTCCCATCTTCGGCATGAAAGCCAGCTGGGTGACTTTGGGCCAGTCACCAGGAGACTGGGAGTTGTAGTCCGCCAGGCTTACAGTGGCCAAGGTTGGGGACCCCTGAACTAAACAATTTCCAGAGGGGTGGGCCTGAGTTTCCCACACGGCTGAGGATTCTGGGAGTCAAGAGTCCCACATCTGGAATTGGTCCACGTTGGCAACTTTGGTTGCGAGATAACGATAAAAACTCTTTTGAAATCTGATTTTGTCTCATTGGATTAGATTAGATTAAAGTTAGGCTTTTATCCTCTTTTCAGCCATGTGACACAAACACAAACACTTTTTTTTAAAATTTGATTTATATGCCGCCCTTCTCCAGAGACTCAGGGCGGCTTACAATGCGTTAAGCAATAGCCTTCATCCTTTTGTATATTTATACAAAGTCAGCTTATTGCCCCCATAACTGGGTCCTCATTTAACCTACCTTGGAAAGGATGGAAGGCTGAGTCAACCTTGAGCCTTGGCGAGATTCGAACCCTGCAGTAATTGCAGGCAGCTGGTCTTAATCACAATGCTATCAGTCTGCAGAGCCAACCAGGCCCCTGGTGACACACTGACACACCCACACAGAGACACTACATCACTTTTCCGCAGCCTGATACCTTCCATAGGTAGTCCTTGACTTACCAGGAGAATTGAGTGATTAAGTGAGCCCGTTGTTAAGTCACATTTGATAACCTTCATTGCCGCGATGGTTAAGTGACTCCCTGCAGTTCTTGAGTTAGTCACACAGTTGTGAAGTGAAGCTGGCTTCCCCATTGACTTGGCTTGTCAGAAGGTCGCAAAAGGGGATTGTGTGACGCACACAAACACAAACACACACACACGGGACACTGAAACCGTTGTAAATACGAGCCAGTTGCCAAGCGTCTGAATTTTGATCACCTGACCATGGGCGAGATGCTACAACGGTCGTGAGAAAAACGGTCCTAAGCCCCCTTCCCCCCCCGTGCTGTTGTAACTTCGAACGGTCACTAAACGAACCGTTGTAAGTCAAGGACTAATTGTACACGTTGTAAGGCCGCAGCCCCTACCATTTCTCCTCCAGCGTGCTCTGGAATTTCTGGGAATTGTAGTTCTGCCGCCTTTAACCCATTTCCTCTGAGGAGGGCCAGCCAAAGAAATTTGCACGATTTTCACACTGGTGGGAAACTCCCATCGCAGTGGACTAAGCTTGTGTCCAAGTGTGCTTGTGGTTCATTTGTGCAGAGTCACAAAAAGCCCCTAGAAGCCCTCGTTTAGCCTAGCAAGTGAAGCCCAGATATATTTGTCCCCAAAAATAACACCGAAGAGAAAAATCTAAATTTGATTTCAAATCTCATTTCAATCTATCCTTTTTTCCCCCCGGTAGTTAACTGCCGGTGGCGGTCACTGTTTCCTACAATCAAAGGGTTGGAAGAGACCTTGGAGATCATCTAGTCCGGCCCACTGCTGAAGCAGGAGACTTTATACCATCCCGGACAGATTCCAAACTCTTCTTGAAAACCTCCAGCAACGGTTTATCCCACCTTAATGTTTTTTTTTTTTTAGAAATAGCTCAAGGTGGAAAATACATCTAATATTCCTTCTTCCTCCAGTTTTCCCCATAACAAAAACCCTGTGAGTTGAGTTGGGCTGGGCTGAGAAGGGAGGAAAACCCAGTGATTTTCCTGCCTAAAGTGGGATTAGAACTCACTGTCTCCTGATGATTGGCCCAAAGTCACCCAGCCGCCTCTCATGCCGAAGGCAGGACTAGAACTCACAGTCCCCTAGTTTCTAGCCTGATGTCTTGCAGAAGCTAGGTTTCTGCTACGTATTTTGCAATCCATCAACCAGGACTCCTGTCTCCTCCTGATTCAAAAACTTCGAAGTTCTTAAATCTGCTAAAGAAAAACAAAAATGCAGCTTGGGGGAAAATAAATCCAGCAACGAAATGATTTATTTACAAAATATACCTCTGCACGGCCGAAGTGAGCCCAGAGGCACCTTAATTTCCATTCCTGGTTACTTGTGACAACAAAATATAACACACACACACACACACACACCAATGGATCTGCACACTTCTTTCCAAGGTGACTTTCTAATTTTTCCACCTCCGGTCATCTAAGCGATCCAGCTTGGCCAGGATTAAGCCACCTCTGGTTTAACCGTTCCACTTCTTTCTTTTTCACTGCTCCGTTTCGCTCTCCAGCAAAAGGTGGGGAAAGGTTTTGGGTTTGGCCCAGGAGATCTGACAGGTCTTGAAAACTTGCAGTTGTATTTTTAAAACCGGTCGGCGCCAGCCGGGGCCTCGGTATAAATAACCAAGTGAAGGGAGGATTAATTGTGCATAAACCGGAGAGCAAAAAAAAAAAAACCCGGTAGCTTTAAACACGACAGTTTACAAGGGCTTGGAAAATTAATGGCACGCAGAACCACATTTCACCAGCCTAACAGTCGGTCTATTTCTGCCCCCTTAAAATTCAACCTCTTGGTTTTGTAAGCGGCCCCGGGTAGCAAATACAGGGGGGAAAAAAAACATTTAGTCCGAGAGAGAGGCAGGCAGGTAGTCCTTGGCTTACGACAGTTCATTTAGTGACCGTTCGAAGTTACAAAGAGCGACTCATGACCGTTTTCCACGCTTAGCAACCGTTGCAGCCTTCCCGTGGTCACTTGATCAAAATTCGGTCGCTTGGCAACTGACTCGTATTTACGACGGTTGCCATGTCCCGGGACTCCCGTGATCCACGTTTGCGACCTTCCGACAAGCAAAGTCAATGGGGGGGAAGCCCAGATTCACTTAACAACCGTGCGACGGACTGAACGGCTGCAGTGATTTGGTTAACAACGGTGGCAAGAATGATTGTAAAAAGGGTGCCAAACTCACCTCTAACACCTGTCTCGGTTAGCGACAGCGATGTTTGGCCTCCATTGTGATGCTAAGTCGAGCACACCTTGTATTGGAGAGGTTTAAGTATAATTTTTTTTAAAAAGTTCGGAGCTGAGCAAGCAAACTCACCCCCACCCTCCCTTGAAGAAAGTGGGTTAATGATCAATTGCAGGGGGGAAAAAATAATCCATTTACAGGTCTGTCTTTGCACCCAGGCTGTAACATTTTAATTAATGCGTGCAAAAGCATGCCACATCAGCATGATGCGCCGCGAAACAGACGTGTTCCATGCATGCCCCTGAGGTCTAGGCAGCTTTTGACGGTTAACACAACAGATCTGCAGGTGAATTTTGCCAGTCAAAAGTAGAATTTTGCCACTTTCCCTCCCCCCCATCCCTCTGCCGTCTGCACAAAATTGGTTGCTGTTAGGAATGGTTATTTATTTATTTATTTTTATTTTACGGATGGTGGAAGAGCCTAACAATTTGCATCATTCTGAGCTGAGTGAATGAGGCTTTTTATGCTGGCAACAGGGGTGAAAATGCAGGAAATGGACGCTCAGCAAGAGGTTGTGCTTTTTAACACAAAAGTGATAGGAAGCCCTCGAATTTCCTCCACGGTGAGTTGCGTCTTGGCCCGCGTAGGAGGAATTGTTCCTTTTGATATCCGTTTAGGTTGCCCTCGGAAAGTTTATATATATATATATATATTATATGTGCAAAATGAAGTGTAATTCAAAAGGTCCTTCCGACTTTTCGCAATGCTTGAAAATCAAGGAGTCTTGCGAAAAACCCTTGTTTTCCCTATCCGTACAGGTGTCGTAAGCAGTCCTCGCCTTAACGACCACAGTTGAGCTCCAAATTTCCATGGCTAACCGAGACAGTTGTTAAATGAGTTCTGCCCCCATTTTGTCAACTTTCCGGCCAGAGTCGTTAAGTGAATCGCTGCAGTGGTTCAATTAGTCACCCAGTCGTTAAGTGAATCCGGCTTCTCCGTGGACTTTGCTCCTCAGAAGGTCGCAAAAGGGGACACTGCGACCGTCATAAGTAGGAGTCAGCCGCCAAGTCCCTGAATTTTTTGATCACAGGGATGCTGCAACGGCCGTAAGTGTGAAACCTGGGCATGCCAGTTTTGCCACGATAACATCTGTCACTAAACGAAACGGTTGCAAATCAAGGGCTCCAGGCGCAATTGCTTGGACGGTGGGGACTGGTGGGGGTGGATGGAACAAGTGGCTTTTCTCAACCTCCCTCTTCTCTTCAGCCCTGCTTACCCCCCACCCCCAATCCCTCAAAGTGAGGGGCGACCCTCCCAGTGACCTGTCCAGGCGGGCGTTTTCCCCGTCCTTATCTCTGACCCTGAAAGTGGCAGCCTGGCTTTCATCTCGGGAAGAAAGGATGGGATGGCAGGGGGTTTTATGGGTGTGCAGAAGAGGCCCCTCTTATGGGGATGGGGGTGGGCCTTTTGGTGGAGAGGCCTGGTCAGGGGAGGGGAGCGGGGGAGGGGAGGAAGTAAGAGAAGATGAAGGGAGGAGGGAGCAAGGAAAGGGAGGGAGGGAGAGGAAGGAAGGAAGGAAGGACAGGATGGAAGGAAGGAAGGAAAAGGAAGGGAGATAGGGAGGAAGAGAAAAAGGAAGGAAAGATAGGATGGAAAGGGAAGGAAGGAAGGAAGAAGGGGCAGAAAGAAAAGGAAGGAACAATAGGAATGAAAGAGGATGGAAAGACAGGAAGGAAGGAAAAAGAAGTGAAGGTGGAAGGCGTGGAAGAGAAAGAAGGAAAGACAAAAAAGAGGATAAATAGATGATCAGGGGGTTGGATTAGATGATCTCCAAGATTCTTTCTAACTCTGTCACAGGTATTTATGAGAGTTGCAGTGTCCCGGGGGTCACAGGATCCCCTTTTGCGCCCTTCTGGCAAGGATACCCAATGGAGAAGCCAGCTTCACTTAATGACCATGTTACCAACTTAATGACTGCAGGGGTTCGCTTAACAGCTGCAGCGAGAAAGGTCATCCAACGGGCCAAACATCCCTTACCCGCCATCTCCTCACTCCAGTGTGGTCGTAAATTGAGGACTACCCGTATCCTGTTAATTCTCTTCCCTCTTTCTTTCTCTCTCTCCTTCCTTCCTTCCTTCCTTCCCTCCCCAGCAAAACGAGAGCGAGGCGCCGCAGGTGAAGCTGCTGAAAGGCAACAGACGGGAGGAGGAAGAGGAGGAGGAGGAAGACGCCCCCAAGCACAAGTGGGTCTCTGGTTATTCTCCCCGTCACCCGAAGGTGGGGGGGGGGGGGGGGGGGCTTGGGGGAGGAAAAACAGATCAGGAAAGTTCAACTCCAGCAGGACATAGTTTTTAGAGATAAGCAACCTGGCAACCACCGTATCTTGGCCAAGTCTCTCTTTGCCTTTGAAAACACCCGGTTGAAATTTTTTTTAAAAAATGTTTTAAAGTCCTTTCCTACTCATGGATCCCCGTCCTGTATTTGGCAAGTCTCAGTTATGTTTAAAAACACAGATTAAAAATGGTTTTTTTTTTTTAATTTTTAAAAAAATTGTCTTTAAAAAGTCCCTTCCTTCTTATTGAGTCAGGAGCACATTCCCTCCCTCCCTTTCTCCCTTCCTTCTTTCCTTACTCCCTCCTTTTTTTTTTCTTCTCCTATCCCTCCCTTCCCTTCCCTCCCTTCCCTTCCCTTCCCTCCCCTTCCTTCCCGTCTCTCCCTCCCCTTTCTCTCTTTCTTACTCTTCTTCCCATTCTCCATCCTTCTCCTTCCTTCCTTCCTTCCTTCCTTCCTGCCTTTCTTTCCTCCCTTCTTCCTTTCCTTCCTTCCTTCTTCCCTTTCTCCCTTCCATCCTTCCTTCTTTCCTTTCCCTCCCTCTCCTTCCTTCCTTCCTTCCCTTCCTCCTTTCCTTCTTCCCTTTCTCCCTTCCATCCTTCCTTCTTTCCTTCCTCCCTCCTTTTTTTCCTTCTCCTATCCCTCCCTCCCTCCCTTCCTTCCCTTCTCTCCCTCCCCTTTCTCTCTCTCTTTCTTACTCTTCCCATTCTCCATCCCTTTCTCTCCCTCCCTCCTTCCTTCCTTCCTTCCTTCCTTTCCTCCCTTCCTTCTTCCTTTCCTTCCTTCCTTCTTCTCTTTCTCCCTTCCTTCTTTCCTTCCTCCCTCCTTTTTTCCCTTCTCCTATCCCTCCCTCCCCTCCCCTCCCTTCCCTTCTCTCCCTCCCTTTCTCTCTCTTTCTTACTCTTCTTCTGTTTCTTCTTCACATTCTCCAACCCTCTCCTTCCTTCCTTCCTTCCTTCCTTCCTTCCTTCCTTCCTTCCTTCCCCTGACCAACCTCTCCACCAAAGGCACCCCTCATCCGTGCCATTCCTGCCTACCTTCCTGGGAAATTTATGTATTTTATTTATTTTATTTGTAATATTGATTAGGCTCCTGCCATTTGTCTCCTTAAACCTGGGGTGGGCTATTAATTTAGGAGGGGAACCTTTGAGGACGGCTGAACCAAGAGGGCTGCGGAGATGCAAAGAGACACAGACACACACACATATATATATACACAAACGTACACAGTGTACGTTGGAGAATAAAAAGATAGCAGTCCCCTTCAAAACAAAAGCTACGCAGTCTTGGCTAACAAAAGACTTTGAAGTTTAACACAGCTGTTGGCTTTGCCTGCTAACTCTATCGGTGTTTTTTTTTCCTTCTTCATATAGTAGATAGACGTCTGGTGGGTTCGGTAAACAGAGTTGCAGACAATCATAATCTGTGGGTCTGTTTTGCAAGGACAGGGAAACATTTTTTCTTCAAATATATTTATCGGAATAGAACAGACTAACAGAGTTGGAAGGGACCTCGGAGGTCTTCTAGTCCAACCCCCTGCTTCCTGATGAAGGAAACCCCACCCCATTTCAGACAAGGGGTTGTCCAATCTCTTCTTAAAAAGCCTCCAGTGTTGGAGCATTTACAAGTTCAGTATTGCGTGTGTGTCTTGTGTGTTGGTTTTTATTTTCTTGTTTTCTTTTTCCGTGCACACGTTGCTTACGTGTATTCCTCAACTTGCATTGTTCATTTAGTAACCGTTCAACATTACAGCGGTTGTTAAGTGAGCCGCGGCCCAATTTTGCAACCTTTTGCCAGGGTCTCTAGCCAAAGACTGCAGTGGCAGAGCGAATCCGGCTTCCCACGTCGCTGGTTGGAGACGGTGGCAGAAGGTGATCAGATACAGGTGGTCCTCAACATACGGCCCCAAATGGAGAGCAGAATTTCTGTTGCTAGACAGGGCGGTTGTTAAGTGAGCCGCACAGTCGTTAAACGAATCTGACTTTCCCCCCCATTGGCTTTGCCCGCTAGAAAGCTTGTCAGAAGCCTGGAGGTCACGTGACAATGGGAAGCTTCAATGCATTCCACTGCCCCATTGATCACAGGACCAGGTCAGAATAAGAGCTGGAAGGGACCTTGGAGGTCATCTAGTCCGGCCCCCCTGCTCGAGCAGGAGACCCTTTACACGCTTCCTCATGAAGGAAACCCCACCCCATTTCAGACAAGTGGCTTCTCCAGTCTCTTCTTAAAAAGCCTCCAGTGTTGGAGCATTCACAGCTTCTGGAGGCAAGTTGTTCCACTGGTTAATTGTTCTGTCGGGAAATTTCTCCTTAGTTCCAGGTTGCTTCTCTCTCCTTGGTTAGTTTCCACCTGTCGCTTCTTGTCCTGCCTTCAGGTGCTTTGGAGAATAGCTTGACTCCCTCTTCTTTGGGGCAGCCCCTGAGATATTGGAAGAATGCTATCATGCCTCCCCTAGTCCTTCTCTTCATTAAACTAGACATACCCAGTTCCTGCAACCGTTCCTCATATGTTTTAGCCTCCAGGCCTTTAATCATTTTAAAAGCTTCCTCCCTCCCTCCCTCCCTTCCTTCCCTTCCCTCCCTCCCTCCTTCCTTCTCTCTTTCCTTCCTTCCCTCCTTCCTTCCTTCTTTTTCTCCCTCCCTCCCTCCTTCTTTTTCTCCTTCCCTTCCTTCCTTCCCTCCCTCCCTCCTTCCTTCTCTCTTTCCTTCCCTCCCTCCTTCCTTGCTTCCCTCCTTCCCTCCCCTTCCTTCCCTCCCTCCTTCCCTCCCTTCTTTCTTTCCTTCCTTCCTTCCTTCCTTCCCTCCCTCCCTCCCTCCCTCCTTCTCTCCTCCCTCCCTCCTTCCTTCCTTCTCTCCCTTCTTTCCTTCCATCCCTCCCTCCCTCCCTCCCTCTCTCCATCCTTCCTTTCTTCCTTCAATTCTCCTTCCCTCCCTCCCTCCCTTCCTTCCTTCTTTCCTTCCCTCCCTCCCTCTCTTCCCTCCATCCATCCATCCTTTTTTATAATGTTGGTCACCAAAACTGGAGGCAGCATTCCAGGTGCGCCCTGACTAAGGCTTTATAAAGCGGTACTTCTAATACTTCATGTGATGGTCATAAGTGTGGAAAGTGGTCACAAGTCCAGTTTTTCCCCCAGTGCCATTGTTAACTTTGAACGGTGGCTAAATGAACGATCGTAGGTCGAGGACTGCCTCTGTCTGAGTCCTCCTCCATGGCTCTTTAGACATTTAATCCCATATTGACTTCTCTTTTTTTCCCCTGGAGCCGGGTGCTCCGTGAATAGATGGGCCCAGGGTGCCAGAAGAACCCCACGCGCCAGGTGAATTTAATGAGAGTGCCCTCTAGACACAGCTGGTCCTCGACTTAACAACCATTCACTTAGTGACCAAAGTTACAACAGCCCTGAAAAAGGGGATTTAGATCTCTTTTTCACACTTAACGACTGTTACAGCATCCCTGTGGTCACATGATCAAAATTCAGACACTTGGCAACTGGCTCATACTTATGACGGTTGTAGTGTCCCGGGGTCATGTCATCCCCCTTTGCGGCTTTCTGACAAAGTCAATGGGGGAAGCTGGATTCACTTAACGACCGTCTTACTAGCAAGTGCTGTGATTCACTTAACCACAGTGGCAAGAAAAGTTGGTAAAACACGGCAAAACTCACTTAACAACCATCTCACTTAGCAACAGAAAGTTGGGTCTCCCTGGTGGCCATAAATCAAGGATTAAGCTGTATCTGGTAGGCAGCTGTACTAAACTAAACCCTGGTTTAATCGCTGTTTGCATATCAGTTGAAGGAACTCTTCCCCAATCTGCTGCCCTCGATAGGTTTAAATTTACGGCATACAGTAAATTTAGAATTTGCGCATCCAAATTGTGGGTCTGTTGCAAGTTGCACGTGTGATTTTTGGCTGGGAATGCTGCCCCCGTTTTTTTTTCCCCAGTCGCAAACAATAAATGTTTATAAATCTGCTTCTCGGATTGATTCCTACAGGTGGAGCAGCCTGTTTCCTTTTGATAATAATCTCTCGGATTTTGTCCCCAGTCTAGAGGTCATCGAGAGCCTTTGGAGAGGAAAATAAAATCAGTTTTTAAGGGTGGGTTCCATGACCGAATCTGTTTTAGGAATTACTCAAGTCTTTTAAATCCTCAATCTTTTCTCTTAAAATATACTCCACCCCCAGCTGAGAAAGACTACAGAAAATCCTCAGGTTACGACCACAACGTGGTTTGTGTGAAGTAAGTTGTGTTCAGGGTTATGGCCTTTTTTGCCACAATTGTTAAGCAAATCATTGCAGTTTTTAAATTAAACAGCCTGACATCTTTTAATGTGTTCAGTAGTGGAGTTCCTATTTTTAAGGGATATAAAGTTAAAATGTTAAGTTGAAATAAGAGAGCTAGTTTGGCATAGGGGTTAAGGTGCTGGCCTAGAAACCAGGAGACGTGAATTCTAGTCCCATTTTAGGCATGAAAGCTGGGTGACTTTGGGCCAATCACCAGGAGATGGGGAGTTCTAGTCCTGCTTTAGGCATGAAAACTGTCTGGGTGACTTTAGGCCAGTGCCTACCCAGCCCACCTCACAGGGTTATTTTTTTGGGGGGAAAATAGGATGAAGGAATATTAGCAAGAGCAATAGCGCTTAGACTTATATACCGCTTCACGGTGCTTTTACAGCCCTCTCTAAGCAGTTTATAGAATCAGCCTCTTGCCCCCAACAATCTGGGTCCTCATTTTACCCACCTCAGAAGGACGGAAGGCCAAGTCAACCTTGAGCCGGGTCAGGATTGAACTGCTGGCACTTGGCAGAGTCAGCCTGCAATACTGCATTCTAACCACTGTGCCACCATGGCTCTTAGCTCTTATTACCTACCTTCACTGCCTTGAGTTCCTTATAAAGTAATAAAGATGAGTTAAAAGTCTTACAAATAATAAGACTTATTATAATAATAAGCCTTGGTGGTGCAGCAGACTAAAGCACTGTTAAGTAGCACCAGCTGCCTGCAATTAGTGCGAGTTCAAATCTCACCAGGCTCAAGGTTGACTCAGCCTTCCGTCCTTCCGAGGTAGGTAAAATGAGGACCCGGATTGTGGGGGCAATAAGCTGACTTTGTATAAAAAAGAACACCGCTTAGGGGGGCCCAAAAGCCCTACTAAGCAGGTATATTCAAAAGTATGAAGGCTATTGCTTAACGCATTGTAAGCCGCCCTGAGTCTCCGAAGAAGGGCGGCATATAAATCGAACCAATAAATAAATACATAAATAAATAAATAAATAATATGGTGACATGTCCTGTTGCTGGCTATTATTTTTTTGTTAAGCAGTGTTAACTAATACAGCCAACCACAGTTTAAACGTTTCAAAGACAGGAAAACCCCAACTTTTACCGTTTCTTCTAAGCCTTTCGGCATCGGCCGACTTTGAAAAAAATTGATTTTTATCCTATCTGAACTGTTCCTAGCTGAGTCTTCTTTCTCCTGGCCTGGGCTTGGGCCTCTTCAAATCCCGATTCGAAACGGAGATAATTTTATTTTTAGTTCTGTTTCTGTTTGTTGCTATTGGCTGCTTCACGTTCTCCTTAATGGTGGAAGGAAAAAAAAAAAAAGGTGAATAACCATTTTGCAAGAATAACATTCGCTCCAGACTCTGTTCTGCATTCCTCATCTTTGAAGGGCTGTTCCATGCTCTTTAAATTTAAAAAAAAAAAAAATAGTCCCAGAACAGGAAGCATTTGCAATCTGGAGAACATTCCAGTCTTACCTCTCTTGGTCTCCAGATAAGGAAAAAAAATGAAGGACCAGAATTGTTCTAATTTTTCTAATTTCCTCGGCAAACGGGCTGCGTGCGCAGGACGTCCCATTGCCTTGCCTTAAATGCTGTGAGTCTTGATGCAGAGACATTGGGAGAAGTGCAGAGAAGAGCAACTAAGATGATCAAAGGCCCCTGGAGACTAAAACATATGAAGAACGGTTGCAGGATTTGGGTTTGGCTAGTCTAGAGAAAAGAAGGACTAGGGGGGACACGATAGCCGTCTTCCAGTATCTGAGGGGCCGCCACCAAGAGGAGGGAAGGGGTCAGTTTATTTTCCAAAGCACCAGAAGGCAGGAGAAGAAGCAATGGGTGGAAACCCATCAAAGAGAGAAGCAACCTGGAATTGAGGAGAAATTTCCTGACAGTGAAAACAATTAATCAGTGGAACAACTTGCCACCAGAAGTTGTGGGTGGCTCCATCACTGGAGATCGTCCCAAAGAAGCTTTTTTTTTTCAAGAGGCAACTGGACTTTCTCATTTTCCTTTGAAGACGTTTCGCTTCCCTTCTTCAGCTCTGACTGGATGATGAGGAATGGAAGGATTTATAATACTCCTTGCAGACAAAGCTTGTCCTTTGCATCCTTTCAGAGGGCCGCTTGAAGGTGTGTCCGTGTCCTCGGTGTCACCTGAGTGGTGCAAACGGGTGTGGAGCCTTCTTGGAACTGCTGAAAGGACTGTATTGCCAGAGGTATAAATCCTTCAATTCTCCACCATTCAAGTCAGAGCTGAAGAAGCTTCTTGGATGAGAAGCGAAACGTCTTCATAGAAAAACCAGAAAGTCCAGTGGCCTCTTGGGCAAAAACAGCCTTCCCTGCTGCCCCGGAGGTCCTCTGGAGGCCAGAAACAGCCCCATTTCCCGACTTCCAGTGGGCCTGAAAGTCCGAAAATCAGCTGGCGCACTGGAAATCGGGAAATGGGGCTGTTTCCGGCCTCCAGAGGACCTCCGGGGCAGTGGGGAAGGCTGTTTTTGCCCTCCCCAGGCTCCAAGAAAGCCTCTGGAGCCTGGGGAGGGCGAAAAACGGGCCTACTGGGCCTACCATGCCATCGCGTGCCAAAAGTGGTGGGGGCGCGGGCACAGGGGAGCACAGGGTGTGGGCTCATGCGCGTGCGACCCCCCCATGCCCCCCCCACACTTTTGGCCCGCAATGTCAAAAGGTTAGCCATCACTGGTATAGGGGCTCCTGCCAGAGCAGGGGGTTGGACTGGATGACCTCCAAGGTCCCTCCCAGCTCTATTCCTAGTGAGAATTCTCCCCTAGTGGGTTGCAAGTCCCTCCGGGCAAAAGAGGGGCTGCTGGAAGCTGCAGAGGAGGTCAAGAACAGGGCAATGTCTCCACCTAGTGTACAGCTTGAGGATTGCAACCTTTTGCAGATTTAACTCAGCCGGTTCTCCTCCTCTCCTACAAGAATTCCTTCTGTGCATGGACCGAGACAGTTTTTGCTCCCCTAGGAGTAAACTGTCTGGAGTTTCCATTTTTTTTTAATCAGTATTTTTTTTTTTTTAATTCAGAAGCTTGAAATGCAAAATTCCCAGAAAAAGTAAACAGAGACAAAACAGAACAGAGGACGATAAAACAAAAAAAAAAAAGTGAATTAAAAAGAACAAAAGTCAAAAACTCATTTTATCCCCTCTAGTTGAACACTGACAAATCTATTGCAACGGTAATATAGATGGTTCTCGACTTTCAACCGATCGTTTAGGGACCATTCAAAGTTACAACGGTACAGAAAAAAAGGGACTTTAGGACCGTTTGCAGAATCTCCACGGTCAAAATTTGGATGCTTGTCAACTGACTTGTATTTATGACAGTTTCAGTGTGCCAGTGTCGTGTAATCCCCTTTTACGACCTTCCGATAAGCAGTCAATGAAAACAGATTCATTTAACAACCATGTGACTAGCGTAACAGCTACAGGGATTCGCTTAAGATTATGGGGGGGGGGAGGGTTGTAAAATAGGGTAAAATTCACTTAACAAATATCTCACTTAGCAACTGAAATTTTGGACTCAATTGTCGTAAGTCGAGGACTACCACATGTAGAGTTGGTGGCAAAGCAAGGACGGGGAGTCCTCGACTTACGGTGGCAATTGGGACCAGAACATCCATCACAAAGTGATGCGGTTGTAAAGCGCGACTGCGTTGTTTCGTGACTGAAATCCCTACAGCCTCAGTTGCCGTCACTAATTGAATCCCACAACCGAGTCATTGGGGAAGCCAGTGGGAAGCCGCAAGTCCTACTCCAACTGGGCACAATTGCTTCAAATACAGCAGTGCAGCTTCATTGGTGGAGGAAGCCTGCACTCTTTCATGATCGCCTTTCTTTTCTTCCTTCTCTTTTTAGGGAGCTGAAGTTGCGGAATTACAGCCCGGAAGACGTGGAGCTGAAGGAAAGAGTGGTGCCCAATGCCAAGCCAGCTTCAGGTAGCTCAGCAGGAGGGGACCCAGGTGGTCAGTCTGCCTTGTCCAGGCCTGTCCGGAAATAGCCAAACCAGGAAGCTAGCAAGGAGGACGTTGTGTCATCTCCTGGTCCTTCACTTTCTTTTTCTCCTCCTCCTTTTCTCCTTGTCCATCTTCTCCTTCTAATAGAGTAGAGTAGAGTAGAGTAGAGTAGAGTAGAACAGAACAGAACAGAACAGAACAGAACAGAACAGAATAGAATTTTTTATTGGCCAAGTGTGATTGGACACACAAGGAATTTGTCTTAGTGCATACGCTCTCAATGTACATAAAAGAAAAGATACGTTCATCGAGAATCATAAGGTACAACACTTAATGATAGTCATAAGGTACAAATAAGCAATCAGGAGACAATAGCAATATAAATCGTAAGGATACAAGTGACAAGGTTACAGTCATGCAGCCATATGTGGGAGGAGATGGGTGGTGGGAACGATGAGAAGACTAATAGTACTAGTAATGCAGCCTCCTCCTCCTGTCCTCCTCCTTATCCTCCTCCTGTATCTTATTCTCTTCTTTCTCCTCCTTTTGCATCTTTATTTCTCCTTCTCCATCTCCTCCTTTTTCATCTCCTCTGCTTCTCCTCCTCCTCCTCCTCCTCCTCCTCCTCTTCCATCTTCCCCCTTCCTGTACCAGAAAAAAACAGACACCCTCTTTTCAGTCTTAAAGCCAAGACAGTTGACACCTGCGAGGCCAGGACCGTGAAGGGGCCCCTCAGACCCATTTTTCCTTCTGGGGGACAGGGGAGGCCTGTCTGATGTCCTACCTCCAACCTAGGTTGCTGTGCTTTCCCTTCCTGGCATCTGTTCTTTTGACGTTCTGTCTTCCCTTCCAATCTGGCGCCCCTCCCTCATGCTGAGCCCTGCGATTCCTAGGTCTGGAGGGCACCCATTTATAGATGGCTGCCTCGATTCAGGCAGGTCTCTAGAGGAACAAGCCTTTTGCTGGGGACGTCCTCTTGGCACCCCAATGGACAGGGGGCGTCTAGCACTTTCACCCTCTTCCTTCCCCGTCCCTCATGACAGTTTCTTCCTCTCTCTAGTGGAAGACAAAGTGAAGGAACAATTGGAGGCAGCTAAGCCAGAGCTGATCATCGAAGAAGTGGTAAGGCCTTCTCGCATAAGACCAGTGATGTCCTTTTACTGAAAAGCGGCTCTTAAGAAGGAGGGGCTTCCTCATTAACCCCTTGTCAGCACTTCAAGCTGTATTTACTCTAGTGCTGACATAAGAAGGAGAAGCGGAGGCGTCTGGAAAGGGACGTTTGACTTTTCACTTACTTATTTTCCCTGGAGATAATATCCCCTAGGAGATGGGATGGGAGGGGGGAAATTCCTTTGAGCTGGAGCAGTAGATTAGGGGTAGAGTGACTTGGAAGATGGCCAATGAGTGCAGGGGAGTGGGGAACGGAAAGGGAGGGTTTTGGGCCTGGAAGTCAGTGTTGGCTACGATGGAGTCGGAATTAGAATGTCGGGCTTAATAAATGGGAGTTTTTTTCATCAAATACTTCGTTTGAAATGCAATTTATTTGAGACGACCTCGAAACCTGACACCTCTCCTCTTTGTTTTCATCCCATGTAGGACCTAGCAAATCTCGCCCCCAGGAAGCCTGACTGGTGAGTAGGAACATTTATCTCCGTGAACAGTACAGCCAAAATTTGCTTTTTAAAGGCCCATTCCCAATTTCCTGAGTTCGCTGTGTGGCAATTGTGCTCTGTGTGTGCATTTGAAGGTTCAACTACATTGATTTATTGCTGAAAACCTATGCACAGGAATCTTCCAACTAAACGGATTTCATTGCTGAAGGCCTGCGCACAGGAATTCTCTCGATTCCTCTATTCAGCACCTGCTAGGACATAGATAAGAGTGGGGGCCTCCAAACTTGGCAACTTTAAGACTTGTGGACTTCAACTCCCAGAATTCCTCAGCCAGCTTTGCCCCCACCGGTTCTTCCCACTCTTCAATTAGAGGAGGAGAGCTGTGCTTAGGATGTAGCTCTGAGCTAAATTGTCATTTAAAGATTGGATAGCTGATAGGGAATACCAGAGTGGAAGGGAACTTTGGAGGTCTTCTAGTCCAACTCCCACCCCCGGAGTTTTGATTTACTTCATTTCTTTCCTTCTATCATTCCCCAGGGACCTGAAGCGGGATGTTGCCAAAAAACTGGAAAAATTGGAAAAACGGACCCAGAGGGCCATCGCCGAGCTGATCCGTGAGTCTGGTCTGTGGGGTAGAAACATAGCAGTGCCCAAATCATTTCTCATCCCCCCCCCCCCAAAAAAAAAAAAATCCAAAAGGCAACTGGACTTGGTTTTTCTTTTGAAGACGTTTCACTTCTCATCCAAGAAGCTTCTTCAGCTCTGACTGGATGGTGGGGAATGGAAGGATTTATACTCCTTGCAGGCAGCTGGTCATTCGCATCCTTTTAGAGGGTCGTTGCGGCCACCTGGAGGTCTATCTGTGTCCTCAGGGTCACCTGAGCGGTGAAAAGTAGTGCAAATCTGTACATTGGGGAAACAAAACAACCACCTCACAAATGTGTGATGCAACATAGGAGAACAAACCCATCAAGCCGATCTTTTGAAGATAGCAAAGTCTACATTTTGGACAGATCCCGCTTCTGGGACGGGAAGCGAAATGTCTTCAAAGAAAAATGAGGAAGTCCAGTTGCCTCCTGAAAAAAGCACCTTTGGGACAACTATGACCTGAATGATTGAGAATCTTCACAAACGTTCCCTTCTTCCCCCCCCAAAAAAGAGCAGTTATGCAAATGCTCTGAGTCCATTTGTTCAGGGACACACCCATGGCTCAAACTCTACGCCCAACAACCCCTCCTTCCCATCCAGCATTCGCACTCCTTCCTCCTTTACCCTTTTCCGAGCCTTTTCCGATATTTCTACCCTGTGATGCAGATAGTCCTCGACTTACGACTGTCATGGAGCCTGCCCATTACGGTGGTAAAGCAGGACACCAAGTCACCAGACCTGTTTTTTATGACCTCCTGTTGCAGCAAAGACTACTGTCATAACTCAAAACACCGCAGTATATTAACACGTGTTTTTGCCAAAATGCTGGTTTTTGGCGAAATCGTCATAAACCGAGATCACGTGACTCCAGGATGCTGCAAACAGCCACAAAGGCGGTTTCACTAACTGACGAAATTCACACGGGTAGGATGGGGAGGTGTAGCTATCAGAACTTCGGAACAGGATTGTAAGTTCAGGAGGTCCTTGACTTATGACCACAATCGAGCCCCAAATTTCCATTGCTGAGCAAGACAGTTCTTAAGTGAGTTCCCCCCCTCCTCATTTTACGAACTTTCCACCATTGTTAAATGATTCAACTTAAGTTGCTGCAGTTGGAGTCACCCGAGTCGTTAAGTGAATCATTCTTGACTTTGTTCATCAGAAGGTCGCAAAAGGAGATCACGTGATCCCAGGACCGTCGTAAATACAAGCCATCTTGCCAAGCGTTTGAATTTTGACCCCGTGGACGCTGCAGTGGTCACAAGTATGAAAAAACAGTCATAAGTCACTGTTTCCAGTGCCGTTGTAGCTTCAAACGGTCACTAAAATGAGCTGTTGTAAGTCAAGGACTGACTCTTTCAGGAAATTTGTGGCTGGCTGTCCGGTTCTTTTAATAGGGATGACCAGCAGTCACCAACTGATAATCCATGGACCACGAGAAAATTTTGGTGGTCCGCAGAAAAATTATTTGCATTTTTTATATTACACTAAATCAGGGGTCCTCAAACTTCGGCCCCTGGGACTGATACGTGCAATGAACGTTTTCTGTTGCTGGAGAGAGTCTCCCCCTTCGGGGTCTTCTTGTGTGGGTTGGAGGGGGGCAGAAATTCCGATTTGGGGTCTGCTTCAGCCTCCTGGTGGGGGGCTTTGGGCGAAGGCTGGAGGGAAGCTCCGCTGGTGGCAAAGAGCCGGAGGGCCTCGTTCCAGTGGGACTGCCTCATGGCCTGGAACTGGCTGACCATCTCAGCCCACTGAGCCTCCAGGCACAGGTACCTGGCTTTGCACTCCTGCAGGTCTTCCCTCTGCTTGGAAAGCCTATGCTCCTAGTCCTCAGTGAGGTGCTTCTGCTGAGCCTCCTTCTCGGTCAGATCCAATTTGATCTGGGCTGTTTTGCCAACTCTTTCTCCTGGTGGCTGCTTAGCGCCAACAAGTGCCTCCTGTTGGAGCCCAGGCGGGGAGGCGAGGAGTGGCTGGCAGGGGAGGGACGAGTAGAGGCTGTCGAGGCACACCCACCCAGTCACATGACCACCTAGCCATGCCCACCCAGCTGGTCACTAGGCAGATCATATTAGTGGTCCGTGGGATTTAAAATTATGAATTTAGTGGTCCCTGAGGTCCAAAAGGTTGGTGACTTCTGCTCTAGATGGAAAATCGGGGTTTCCTGGGTGCATTGAAGCCTCTCTCAAGGATGCTTCGGCTGCATCTCCAAGGTGGTCCCCAAGGCTTTGGCCGCCCTTTGACCTTCCATGTCCCCAGGAGGTCCATCCGCTTCTTTTTCTCTTCTTGCAGGAGAGCGGCTGAAAGGCCAGGAGGAAGAGTTGGCCTTGGCCGTCGATTCGGCCAAGCAGCAGGACAGTGACTCTGATTGAGGCGCTTTCCAGGAAGAGGTTCATCAAAAGAAGGATCTTCCCCCGGGGAATCCTGGAGACCTTCACGAGAACATCGCCTCGTGGCGGATCCGAGCTCCCCGAACCAACAGGGAGGCCCTTCATCCCCACAAAAATCACGTTCGTTCGTTGCAAAGAAAACCCCCAGGCTTCCTGCAGACACGCATCTCGCTCCCCAAAACTGGTGCCTTTCACACGTGGAGAAGAGACGAGATTCTTGAGTCTCTTGGCTGCCACCTCTCCTTCCTCTTGTAGGACCTGAAGTGACTTTTCAAACGCCACAGTTCGGCTACAAAACCCTGGAAAATGTCCGCTTGGCAAGACAGGGATGATTTGCTCTGGACCGTGCATTGATTGCTCTTTGGTGTAACTTGCTAAGCGGGTTTTTGGTTTTTTTTTATTTTTATTTGTTCAAATGTTTCGGGTTTTTTAATTATTTCCAAAGTTCAAATATAGATTAAACGGGAGGAGAGGGGGAGCAACAAGCTAAGCACCACCAGGCAGAGAATAATAAAAAAAAAAATTAAAAATAGAGGTACAACGAAAGAAAAATGTCAAATATATCAGTCACACGTTGAGGGGACCAACAGTTGTGTTGAATTTCTCTCTCTCTTTTTTTTAAAGTAGTATTTTTCAATCAAGGCCACTTTGAAGAGGTGAGGACCTCTTCAAAGTAAGTGAGGTTGAGAAACACTTTTTAAAAGCAACAAGCAGCCAGATTTTTTTGGCTTTTCCTCCAAAACCCCAACCTGCAACGTGTGATATGTGTGTGTTTGTGTGTGTCTCTGAAAAAGCCATGTTGTGTTTCCCTGTTGCCTTTTCAACCACATTTGTGATGGGATGATTGTTTTGAGAAACGATCCTACTTTTTATACTTTAAATAACTCCTACTGCCATTCAGTTTTCCCACATATCAAATACAGAAGAAATCTTATTGAAAGTTGCGTGTGTCGTTCCCAGTTTACAGGAAAGAGATTATTTTACAAATTTCTAGGTTTTTCCTGTCTCTTATGACCACGAAAATGTATGTGGCACACCTTGATTGGCGCAGAGGTAGTTTGGTCTCTTTTTTTTTTTAATATTAAAATGTTCTCCAAGCTATTTGCAATGGTCTCATCTGAGCTGTCCAGTCTTGTCCCTTGAGTTTGGCTGAATCAGAAAATACAGAATTTGGGGTCTTTTTTCTAGTTTTTTTTTCTTCTTTCTTCTTGGCTGCATGAATGGTTCACAATTGACCTGTGAAGTCATCCGTCTTTTACAGATCGTCCTTGACTTTCAACCACAACCGAACCCCAAGTTCCTGTTGCTAAGCGAGACGGTCGTCAAATGGGTTTGCCTCATTTGATGACTCTTCTTGCCACAGTTGCTAAGCTAGTCACACAGTCATTAAGTGAATTGGGCTTCCCCCATTGACTCTGCTTGTCAGAAGGAGATCGTATGGACCACCGTCATAAATACGAGCCATTTGCCAAGCGTCCAAATTTTGATCACGTGACCATTGGGGATGCGGCAACAGTTGGTCGTAAGTGTGAAAAATGGTCGTAAGTCCCTTTTTTTCCAGTGCTGTTTGGTCACTAAACAGATGGTTGTAAATCAAGGATTACATCGTATTTACTTCTTCTTTTTCTTCTCTTCTTCCTCTTTTCCTTCCTCTTTTTTTAAAAAAATTTTAATTTCATTTTTTGCTATTTCTTGTTTCTCCTACGGATTTTTTTTTTCTTTTTCACAGAATTTTATCCTTATTTAACTAATAGTTAAAATGTGAGATAAACACAATCTGGTCTCAGGTGCCTACAAAACCCTCCTGCGATTGTTACTGTGGCCGGATCCAGATTATCGGGAAAAAAGACCCTGGCATAGCTGCATTTTCCTCTGGTTTAAATTGAGTTCAGGTAGTCCTCGACTTACAACAGTTTGTTTAATGACCGCGGTTACAACGCCACTGAAAAAAGGGACTTAACGACCATTTTTCATAGTTACGACCATTGTATCATCCCCATTATCACATGATAAGAATTCAGACGCTCGCCAACCAACTCGTATTTATGACGGTTGCAGTGTCCTGGAGTCACACGATCCCCTTTGCGACCTCCTGACAAGCAAAATCAATGAGAGAAGGCCGATTCACTTAAGGGGCCATGTGACTAACAGCTGCAGTGATTCGCTTAACGACTGGCAGGAAAGGTGGTAAAATGGGGCAAAATTCACTTAATGTCTCGCTTAAGCACATCAATTTTGGCCTCAATATGTGGCCATAAATCGAGGACTACCTGTGTTATATTTCAAAACAAAGCTTGGCATATCTTCAAAACTCCTGGTAATTCGGATATTGGCCAACCTGGAGGACTGATTTAATTTTCTGAATGGGAGTTGTTTTGGTTTTGCCTCTGGGATTTTGAGGGTTGAGAAACAACAATCTTGCCCACACCCTCGGGGTAATCCCCTTACTCCCAGGCCATTTTTTTTTTCCAGTGCAACTAAACGAACGGTCGTAAGTCAAGGACTGCCTATAATGCTTTGGACAGACAGTTGGACCCCGGTTAAAATTACACGATGCCTCGCTTTCAAACGAGAGAGAGAGAGTAAGAATGGAAACATCCCTCCATCTAAACAGGATTGCATCATCTGAGAGAAGAAGGTGTGTCTCTCATTTCAGGTATTTAAATTGGCAGGAAGGTCTAAGGTTTAGAAAACCTGGGTTTTTTACAATGAGTTGGGTTAACAATTCGGGGTACAACAACATCTGTTGTACACCACACAATGCACTGGAATTAAAATGTGGTATTCTCGTTTTCTCAACAATCCTCGAGACAATAAATGCTTCAACCAGAAAGGAAACCTTGCCTCAAGGGTTGTCTCAGTTTACACACACACACACACACACACACACCAAGAGGCAGGAAGACGTGTCCTATATAGGTAGTCCTTGACTTATGGCCACAATTGAGCCCAATTTTTTCTGCTGCCAAGTGAGACATTTTAGTTACCTAGCTAATGGTGGTTTGCCTTCCAAGGAACCAAGGCAGAATCAACTTTCAGCTGCAGTTGGGACTTTCTATTGCTGAGCGAGGCGGTCGTTAAGTGAGTCGCACCTGATTTTAAGACCCTGTTCCCCACTTCGTTAAGTGAGTCGCCGCACTTGTTAATTGAGTCACACGGTTGCTAAATGAATCCAGCTTTCTCCCATCAATTTCACTTTGCCGGAAGCCAGCTGGGACGGGCACAAATGGCAATCACGTCACCCTGCAACCGTCATAAAGGCGAGCCAGTTGCCAAGCATCCGAATTCTGACCGTGTGGCCCCTGGATGTCGCCACCGTCATAAATACATGCTAGTTGCCAAGCTAGTCCCACAGTTTTGAATTCGTGACCGCCGGGATGCAGAGACGGTTGTAAGCGCGAGGATCGGTCGCCAGTCACATTTTCAGCGCTGTTGTGCCTTCAAGCGGTCACCAAAAGAATGGTTGTAAGTCGAGGACTACCCGTGAGGCCAGCAAAAGCATTCAGATGAGCATTACATCATAAGATGTTTACTAAGAAAGCCACAAGGGTCCCTTCTAATGTCAGCCGGGTTCAACTACGACACGTCAGATGTTAGCTTAGTTCTGCTTACTCACAAACCCTGATTCACCAGGGAACTTCTCGCCCACATTTCCGTCGTGAACGTTGACCTACTTCCTACTTCCTCTTCTCTAACCTAATGATGGTTAGAGAAGATGGAGACCTTCTCCTTATCTTCTCACTGAGATGTCACGGTCTAATGTTCTCCTCCATCTCCCTTTCTCAAGTTCTCGGAGGTCCCGAAGAACGAGACCCAGATTGGGGTGGAGATGGTTTAGGACAGTGTTTCTCAACCTTGGAAGCTTGAAGATGGGTAGACTTCAACTCCCAGAATCCCCCAGCCAGCAGCGCTGCTGGCTGGGGGATTCTGGGAGTTGAAGTCCACCCATCTTCAAGCTTCCAAGGTTGAGAAACACAGGTTTAGGACAACGACGGCTAACCTTTTCCGGATCAAGTACCCAAAGCGTGCATGTGAGTGCATGAATACGTGCCCATGTGCCTGGGCCTCCAAAATGCATGCATGGGCCCTACATGTGCCCTGCCCCCCGTGCATGCACATACACCTCCTGCATGCCCCCCACCCCATGAATGCACACGCCCCCCCTCCCTGCACATGTCCCACCTCCTGCGCATACACGGCAGAGACCCGGAGACCAGGTGTCCGGCGGGAGGTGCGCCCACATGCGCAGTGGAGCTGAACTGAGGCGACGGCTCAGGTGCCATCAGAGAGGTTGCTGCATGCCACCTCTTGGCACGCGTGCCATGGGTTTGCCATCACGGCCTCAGGAGCCCTCGGACAAGTTTCGGTGCAGTCATGTTTCGTAAACAAAAGCTCGGATGTCGTAACACTCCAGGGTGGAGTTCTTCCGAAGACAATCTTGAGTCATAGGCCAGAAAGTTAGCTGGCGACATCTGGAGATGTAGATTGCGACACTTTGCACGCAACGTTTCTTTCCGGTCGACCAAGCCAGGGAGGTCCATAAATGTGCGAGAAACGCCGAGAAGGCACTCAACAACTGCGATCCGGGAGAGTTGTGGGTTTCGTTCAGGATTAGGAGAAACCATGAAGGCTTCTTGGCTCGGTTTGGTGTCGTTGGCCAGCTTCTTGCTTCTCCTGACGGCCCGCTCTGAAGGGGCCCCACCTGTTTCTGCGGCCCCTGAGGTGGTCACAGCCCATCCTGAACACCTGCCTGTAAGTATGGACCACACACTTTTGTGTGTGTGTGTGTGTGTGTGTGTGATTTTATTTAGAAGTTCAACAAAAGTTTTGTGTTAGGGGAAAAAAAAAAAGGGGGAAAAATAAATAAGATTGTAGGCGTGGAACAACTGCTTTCCTACCAGGAAAGGTCTCACTTACTAGAGATCTACTTTTTGGGCGGAAAAAAAGACTGAAAATAGAGGCAGTTCTCAACTTACGACCAAAATTGAGCCCTGTTGTTAAGTGGTTAAGTGAGTTTTGCCCCATGTTACGACCTCCTCGCCACAGTTGTTCAATATTTCAACCATTTGCCTGAAATGGTATAGGGTTTCCTGCCTAAGCAGTGGGTTCTGTGCTGTCCTGTGCTATTCTATTCTACGCTACGCTACTCTGTTCTGTTCTGTTCTGTGCTGTTCTGTTCTGTGCTATGCTATTCTACGCTACGCTACTCTGTTCTGTTTTGTTCTGTGCTATGCTATTCTACGCTACGCTACGCTACTCTGTTCTGTGCTGTTCTGTGCTGTTCTGTTCTGTGCTATGCTATTCTACGCTACGCTACTCTGTTCTGTTCTGTTCTGTGCTATGCTATTCTACGCTACGCTACGCTACTCTGTTCTGTTCTGTTCTGTTTTGTTGTGCTGTGCTATGCTATGCTATGCTATTCTATTCTATTCTACGCTACACTACTCTGTTCTGTTCTGTTCTGTGCTGTTCTGTGCTGTTCTGTGCTATGCTATGCTATTCTACGCTACGCTACTCTGTTCTGTTCTGTTCTGTGCTGTGCTGTGCTGCCCTACCCTACCCTACCCTACCCTACCCTACCCTACCCTACCCTACTCTATTCTATTCTATTCTAAATTCAGGTAGTCCCCGACTTACCACAGTTCGTTTAGTGACCGTTCAAAGTTATAATGGCACTGAAAAAAGCGACTTATGACCGTTTTTCACAGTTACGAACTTTGCAGCATCCCCATGATAGTGTGATCAAAATTCGGACGCTTGGCAAGTGATTCATACTTATGACTGTTGCTGTGTCGCAGGGTCACATGATCCCCTCTTGTGACCTTCTGATGAGCAACGGGAAAGCCAGATTCACTTAACAGCTGGGTTACTAATTTACCAACCGCAGTGATTCATTTAACAATGGAGGCAAGAAAGGTCATAAAATGAGGCAAGACTCACTTAACAAATGTCTCATTTAACAACCACAAATTTTGGGCTCAATTGTGGTCTAACCCTGAACTTATGATCACAATGGAGCATTTATGATGCTTGCAGCACCTCGGGGTCCCATGATCCTGTTTTGCGACCGTCTTGAGAAGCAGAGTCAATGGGGAAGCCAGATTCACTTAACAACCGGGTAACCAGAATTTCCATGGTTAAGCAAGGGAGTTGTTAAGTGAGTCGCATCCGATTTTACAACCTCATTGCCACTGTTTTTAGAAAACCACTGCAGTTGTTAAGTGAATCACTGTCGTTAAGCGAGTCCAGCTCCCTCCATTGGTTCTCTCTTGTCAGAAGCTAGCTGGGAAGATCAGGCGCCCTCAGGAAACTGCAACCTTCATAAATACACTGTGGTTGCCAAGCACCCGAATTTCAATCATGTCATTATATACAACGGTCGTAAGTGTGAAAAATGGCCCTAAGTCACTTTTGTCAGTGCTGCTGTAACTTCGAACAATTGCTAAACGAATGTTTATAAGTCACGGACTGCCTGAGCTTGTAAATTATGCAGAAAAATCATTTGTTTTCCGAGGGCTGGCAAACTCCGTGCCTGCTTGTCGCAGAGCTAAACATTGGGGGTGGAAATTTAATTTAACCTGCCCCCCCACTCTTTTTTTTTCTTTTTTTCTTTTTTCTTAAGAAGGAAACCAGCCTCTTTTTTTTCTTTTTTAACCTCCTCACCCTAATTTGGTAAATAATAATAATAATAATAATAATAATAATAATAATAATAATAATAATAATAATAATAATTTCCTCTCTTTTGACTTCTCTCTCGTTTTCTCCAATGCAGATCGAACCGTCCGCAATTTCCAAAGCCTGGTGGAAGAAATTTATCCGGGAAAGTCGGAGCCAGAAGCCGCCGAGGACCCCCAGACCTGGAGTCTACAGCCCCTTAAGCGGCAACGATCCAAAATAATTGATGCCGGGGATACTCCCACAATGCATTGCCATCCGGCCCGTGTATTACTGGGATGGACTCGATCTTTTTACGTCACGCCTCTGATCGGCCTTCGATTTTTGCAAGTGCAAAAGGATTTCTAACGTGCATTGTGCTACTCTCCCACAACCTTAACTTGTGTGTATATGTGTGTGTGTGTGTGTGTGTGTTAGGATGGACCAATCCAATTGCTCCTTTCTTCACACTGGCCGGATATCATGATGAACTTCACCTTCCTTCTCCTTGGCTATTATTTCAACATCTTGATTCGTCTTTTTCAACAGCAATAAATTCTGTTTCTCTCTGGTTTGGTAGTATACTGGTAGTCCTCTACTTACAACCGTCCGTTTACTGACCACTAAACTACAATGAAAAAAAGTGACCTACGACACGTCCTCACACTTACGACCATTGCAGTAACCCACGTACACAGGATCAAAATTTGCATACTTGGCAACTGGTATATATTTTCGATGGGATCAATTTCGCTACTCTTCCCAGTAGTCTTCCGGGAAGCCAAGTCAATGAGGGAAGCCGGATTCAGTTAATGGCCATGTGATTCACTTAACAACTGCACTGATTCCCTTAACAACCAGGGCAAAAAACATGTAAAAATTGGGCATGACTCACTTAAATCTTGCTCAACAAGAGAAATTCCCAGTTGTGGTCATAGGTCGAGGACTACCTGGATGGGAGTGACCCCAAAGTGGGGTAGAAAAAGGCATTCTTTTCAGTGCCGAACAGTCACTAAACGAATGGTTGTAACTTGAGGACCAGATTTGGATATTATGAGATCAGGTTTCTCAAATTTGGCTGCTGTAAGAAATGTGGACTTCAAACGGAGATGGTGGTTTCTCAATGTGATATGTAAATAAATAAAATTTATGAAGGTTATTTGTTCCATGTTACACTCTCAGTTGTCTTTAGTTTTCTTCTTTTCACCTTGGACGTAAAGATAATAATTCTGTTTAACTGTTGACTGCCCCAGCCGCCATGCTTTAAGAGGGGAGGACTTCCCCTCCCAGAATCCCCCAGCCAGCACATTAGATGGAGAAATCTGGACTCCATCCATTCATGGCTCCTGGGGAATTCTGGGAGTTGAAGTCCACACACCTTAAATGTCCGATTTCTTGAAACTCTCCTCCAACATTTGCATTTTCCTGGCTGTGCAATCTTGCTGCCAATCGTTCTTGCTGGATGCCTCTGAAAAGGTGAGCCAGGTGGGAGCTGGCTCTTCCTCCGCTGTTCAACAGGTGCAGCGGGCTCCACATGCTGGGAAGGTTGAGAAACTCCTTTCAAAAGTCAGTTAAAAAAGGGGGAAAGACCCCGTTTGATGCCCCCAACCAAAACTGCCGGGTGTTGTGCGAATCCTCCCACCCCAACATCATCGGTTAAACCACCAGGTTCCTCAATTCCCATGGGGGGAACCGAGCCCGTTTCCTCCTGCCTGGAGTCCCATGTTCCCCTCCCTGCCCCCCAGCTCGGAGGACAGCCGGGGGAAACTTCCTTCCCCCTTTTTAAGGAGGCCTCCGGATCGTCTCTTCAACCTTCCTTCATTCCTTCTCCTCCACCTTCCCGGGAAGACGCCTCTCCTTCCGTCCCTGAGGAGCTGCATTTCTGACTGCGGGGATTATGTGGGGCGTGTGGGTGCTGCTGGCAATTCTGCTGGTGCTGAGCCGGGCTGGGACCCTGCCGGGGACATCGCAACCTGGGGTCTCCCGAGGAGGAGGAGAGGGCGACCCAGAGCTTTCTACCGGAGGACCTATGCCGGTGAGCATACCTGGCAGGATTCGATCTCGCAGCCCTGACCTGCTTTGCCCATTTTGGGGCCCCGTTCAGAAGTGATTTCCCTGACCCAGGTTGAGATTTGCACATTCCGCCTGGAAGGATGGGGGTCCCTCTCCTGGCCCCCAAAACAGGGACGGTGGGTTGGAGATGGGAAGTTGGCGTGAGAATAAGCAGAGAATGGTGGTTTGCTCGTGTGATGCATTTAACCTGGTTTGCAGAAGCCCAGCATCTGAGCTTGCACAACCGTTGGGCTGAATCCTAGCTAGAGGGTTTATTGTTCTGGTCTACAAAGGTGACAGAGGTTCCCGACTTACGACCACAATTTGAGGCCAAAATTTCCGTGGCTAAGCGAGACAAGGTGGAGTGAGATTTGCTCCATTTTATGACTTTTCATGTCCGGTTGTTCAGTGAATCCCTGTGGTTGTTAAGCAAATAGCACCGTTGTTAAGTGAATCAGGCTTCACCATCGACCTTGTGGTCAGAGAATCACAAAAAAGGGATCACGTCATCCTGGGACGTTGCAACCGTCATAAGTATGAGTCAGTTCCAAGCGCCTGAATTTTGATGATGCTGTAATGGTCGTAAGTGAGAAAAATGGTCGTAAGTCTCTTTTTTTCAGTGCCGTTGTAACTTGAAACGGTCACTAAATGTTATTAGTCAGGAACTGCCTGTAATTGGTTGGCCAAGAGGCCCCTAGTGGGATTTCTTCTTTTTTTTACAAATTGAGTAATTTATCTCCAAATTGAGGAGGGTCTTTAAGAACGGGAGCTTGGCTCTTCCCAACCTATCACGGCAGGGGGCTGGACTAGATGACCTCCAAGGTCCCTTCCAACTCTTTATTATTCTGTGATTCTTCTTTTCCAGGTGACAATTCAGATTTTCCCCAGACAGAGACCGAGGAATCCTTGCCGTTATTACCGATGGGGTGAACGGCAAAAAAATTTATTTCACCCGTCCGGGATGTTTCTCAACCTTGAGCTTTCAAGGGATTGGCTAAGAGGGCCCCTACTACGCTTGTGGGGTCTTGCGGCAGTCATCACATGCTCTGGGGACCCTGTGACACAAGGACTGCGGTCGGCCCCCGACTCCTGCCATGGTGTGTCATTGTGTGCCTTGCATTTTGCAAAGAAAATAAATCTTTTGCATATTATATACATGTATATATTTGTGTGTGGGTTGTCATTTGCCATCCTGGTTAGTCAAGTGGCCTCTGAGTTCTGTGTTCGAGTCCTGGCACTATCGGCAGTCCTCGACATACGACCACAATTGAGCCCCGAATTTCTTTTGTTAACCGAGACAGTTAGAGGGTAGAGCCGAGGATTTTGTACAGTATCTGTATGACAAAATCACTCAGATTCGGGAAGATTTGGACTCTGACTGGGTAGTCTCAGGGGGAGAGACAGGGGCAGGTCTTGAGACTGTTATCTGGGATGAGTTTGATCCTGTGACCCCTGAGGACGTGGACAGGATTCTGGGTAGACTGAATGCGACCACATGTTTGTTGGACCCGTGTCCCTCCTGGTTAGTGCTGGCTTCCCGGGAGGTGACGCGAGGCTGGCTCCAGGGGATTATAAACGCTTCACTGAGTGAGGGTGACTTTCCTGCCGCCTTGAAAGAGGCGGTGGTGAGGCCTCTCCTCAAGAAGCCATCCCTGGACCCGGCAATGTTGGTAAATTATCGTCCGGTCTCCAACCTTCGCTTTGTGGCGAAGGTTGTTGAGAGTGTGGTTGCACGACAGCTTCCCCAGTACCTGGATGAAACGACGTATCTGGATCCGTTCCAGTCGGGTTTCAGGCCTGGGTACAGCACGGAAACGGCATTGGTCGCGTTGGTGGATGATCTCTGGAGGGCTCGGGATAGAGGTCGTTCCTCTGTCCTGGTCCTATTAGATCTCTCAGCGGCTTTTGATACCATCGACCATGGTATCATGCTGCACCGGTTGGAAGAGTTGGGGTGGGAGGCACCGTATTACGGTGGTTCTCCTCCTTTCTCTCCGGCCGGTCGCAGTCTGTGTTGAGAGGGGGGCAGAGGTCGACTCCGAGGCCCCTTATATGTGGGGTGCCACAAGGATCGGTCCTCTCGCCCTTTTTGTTCAACATTTATGTGAAGCCGCTGGGCGAGATCATCCGTGGTTTCGGGGTGGAGTACCATCAGTACGCTGACGACACCCAGCTGTACATCTCCACCCCAGACCACCCCAACGATGCCCTTGAAGTGATGTCCCGGTGCCTGGAGGCCGTACGGATCTGGATGGGGAGGAACAGGCTCAGACTCAACCCATCCAAGACCAAGTGGCTGTGGTTCCGACGTCCCGATATAACCAGTTGACGCCATCGCTGACTATTGGGGGCGAACCATTGGCCCCCACGGAGAGGGCTCGCAACTTGGGTGTCCTCCTGGATTCACAGCTGTCTTTAGAAGAGCGTATGACGGCCGTGACTGGGAGGATTTTTCATCAGGTCCGCCTGATTCGCCAGTTGCGTCCCTTTCTGGATCGGGACTCGTTACGCACGGTCACTCATGCCCTCGTCACCTCCGTCTGGACTATTGTAACGCTCTCTACATGGGGCTCCCCTTGAGGAGCACTCGGAGGCTCCAACTGGCGCAGAGTGCGGCCGCGCGGGGTGGTGATGGGAGCGACGTGGCGCTCCCATGTAACGCCTCTCCTGCGCGAGCTGCACTGGCTCCAGTGGTCTTCGGGTGCGCTTCAAGGTTTTGGTTACCACCTTCAGAGCGCTCCATGGCTTAGGACCTGGGTACTTGCGGGACCGCCTACTACCACCAATAGCCTCCCACCGACCGGTACGCTCCCATAGGGAGGGGCTCCTCCGGGTGCCGTCAGCCAAACAATGTCGACTGGCGGCCCCCAGGGGGAGAGCCTTCTCTGTGGGGGCACCTACTATCTGGAACGAGCTCCCCCCAGAGATACGAAGGATCCCGCATCTGCGTACCTTCCGTCGCGCGCGCTTAAGACGTTCCTATTTCATCAAGCCGGCCTGACCTAAATTTTTCCTCCTTTTAAATGGAAATTTTAAATTTGGTTTTAATTTATTGGGGTTTTTAAAATTGGTTCAGCCAAATTTATTTAATTAGTTTTATCTCTATTTTAAATTTTGTATCTATCTGTTTTATTTTATGGCTGTTCACCGCCCTGAGTCCTTCGGGAGTAGGGCGGTATACAAATTTAATAAAATGAAAATGAAAAATGAAAATTGTTCCGTGAGCGTTGCCCCTATTTTATGAACTTTCTTGCACCAGTTGTTAAATGAACAACGGTAGGGATTCACTTAACAATTGTGGCAAAAAAGGTAAAATGGGGCATGACTCATTTTAAAACTGTCTTGCTTTGTGACAGAAATTTTGGGCTGAATTATGGTCGTAAATGGAGGTCTACCTGTAATTGTCTCTCTTTTTTTTAATCAAACAGAAAGGCAGGGAGATATAACTTTACAATGAAGGTATAAACATTCCCTGTTTATATTTTAATTATAAGATATAATCAATGCTGTTTATGAGAAAATGTGGGGTGCCTACCAGTATGTGCTAAATTCCCAATTTTCTTCTTCTGTGGCCAGTTTTGGGGTCCAAAGCAAAGCAAAATCTTTGCTCAGTTGGTATTAAATTTTCCGAGGAAGAGAAGAGAATCCGCCGTCTCTTTCTAGGAAAATAAAAGAGTTTCAAGAGTCCTTTGGCCACTCGAGGGCACCAGGCGCCCAGCGTAAGATGAATTCTCCTGTTCCCTGTGGCGACCATGGCTGCTGACCTCTACAAGTGGCTGCACTACAAAACCCATCCTCCTCCACCCTTGGTGTTAGTGGGTGGGGTAGCTACAGATTAGGATTCTGCCACATCTGGAGAATGACGGAAGCTACGTTTCTTTCTGCTCCCTTTTAAGATAAATGGAGGAGCTGCTCTAAGCCACAATTGGCAGACTTCACATAGGGGAGGTTAAAGATAGAATTTCTTTTTTCTTTCTTTCTTTTTTCTTTCTTTCTTTCTTTCTTTCTTTCTTTCTTTCCTTCCTTCCTTCCTTCCTTCCTTCCATCCTTCCTTCCTTCCTTCTTTCTTCTTCCTTCATCCTTCCTTCCTTCTTCCTTCCTTCCT